GCCTCACTCTCACTGGAGGAGGAAGTGGAATCTTCTTCCATCTCCTCCTCTGCGACCTCCTTTTCCTCGGGTTGAGAACGGCTGGCCTCCAAGAACGTTTCCGCTTTTGTAGCCCGGTCCATCCAGTAGGCCACCTGTTCATTGGAACTCTTAAGTTCCAATAAGGTGGCCTCCAGTTTGGCCTCCAGCGCCTCGAACCTCCTCATAATGCTCTCCGATGTGAGGGCCATGGCTTCCTCCAAGCCTGGAACAGAAAACACTTGTAGTTTGTGTGACTGCTGTGAAACGCGCTAAAAAGCACACTATTCTCAGCGTAGCGACACAAGAACTTAGGAAAACCCAAGTGGGAAAACCCAAGTGACAGCTTTAACTTTGATTAACCAACACTGAAACTTTTGCAGAGCGCGATGCTTAGCACGATGTTGACTGGTCGAAGTCTGAACTCTGTCAGCACAAAATGGTGTGGTGTGCCGAGTAGCACAAAATGGTGTGCACAAAATGGTGTCAGCAGTCCAAGAAAACCTGCAATAGTTTAACTTGTGTTGGTGTACAACGGATATATGCACTAGCACAACAAGCAGTAGCATAATTATATCCCCTACGAAGGTCCTTTTCTGACCTGAATGTATTGTACCAGGATGAGCAGGTCGAAAACCGACACCGACGCGACTCATGGCATTCAAGTGGAGAAGCAGTCGAAAATGTGCAAGCGAAAGTACATCAAGAAGTCTCAATAAGAAAATCGGCTAGGAGCAATAAAGGAGTTCCGCCCGATCGGTATATGGCTATTTCAAAGTTTGCAGCATTTACGCAAGATGACCCGAGAGGCAGGAGCAAAGCTTTATCAAGCCCAGATAAAAACAAATGGGGAGCAGCAATGGCTGAAGAGAGCGGTTTAAAAGCACACAATTAAGTGAATATTATCGTTGAGGAAGGGTTTTGGTGTACAACGGACATATGCAGCAGCACAACAAGCAGTTGTATAATTATACCCCCTACAAAGGTCCTTTTCTGACCTGATTGTGTTGTACCAGGATGAGCAGGTCCAAAAGCGACACGGATCGCACTCTGAGAGTGCCAGCAGCCGAGATAGCACCATCATCGGCACCATTCAATACGCTCCATTAGTCTGACGTCTGACTGAATGCACACAAACGAATTGTCGTATCTTATTAGCATTGGACTTGGTTTCATTCTGTATTTTTCTAGAAATCTGCATGTTCTAAGCATTAATATTAGAGAGATATTAATTTTCTGCTGTAGCTGATTGCTTTAAAGAAGACTGTGCATAGTTAAAGAGGGGTGAAAACTCTTAAGAGATAGGCAATGTCATTGAGCTAGTGTTCACTACCGAACCCTCTCCTGCTTGATTTAAAGATGTGAGAGCCAGAATGAAAAAGAAAAATTACTGTGTATTACTGTAATTCTGTATATTTTTGACTGCAAAACATTAAAACCAATATCTAACGTTTCATGAGAGTTATGAGTAACTGATATTGCTTACTAAGATTTTCAACTTTCCAGTCATAATAAGAAACTACTTATATCTTTGAGTAATGCAAAAAAACATTTAAATATTGCATAACTAGAAAAATATACAGGGTTGCTCATTAGTGCGTCAAAGTGCGATATCTCAGTAAATATGAACTTTGCAAGAAAATATGTCCTACGAAAGTTTTTCATGTTTAAAAGGTCCACATTTTAAAATTACTTTCCAATATACGGGGTGTATCATAAACGTGTGGTAGTTACCAACTTTGGTTTTTTAAATGGAACTGCCCCTTTTTTCATTCATTTTCAGATTTGTCGTCAAAATTTAAGTTAAGTTTGTGTCAAACGTTTTACCTGAAAAATTTACGATTTCCGAGTTATTCGTATAAATGTGAAAGTTTTGACAGCTACTGGGTTCCACAGAAATCGATGCTGTACACTACCCGCTGCGAATTTTGGAAAACAGTTTTCAGCGATTCTAACAGAACATCATGATCTACGCGTAGATATGTTT